ACGGCCAGCCTTGTCCCGACTCCCCTGCTTCTATACGGGATGTACGTATAAAATCACCCATCAAATCGGCATGGTATGTGTTCACTGGAGACAAAACAGTGCACACCTGTCAAAGAGCTTTTTATTTGATTTTTTTTTTCTATTTAATATAAGATGGTAAAACCATTTTCTGTAAAACACATATAAACTTTAACCCATAAATAGAATCTTCTCTGGACGTCTGTTGCATAAACGGATTCCCCGAAGCTCACAAAGATGGCGGCCAGCCCTCAGCACTGCTGGGTACCCACGTCGGCCGCTGTGTAGCTTTATGTAGATTTATTATTGCAGACGGTCCGTGTTTTTGTTTTGTTTTTTAAATCGATAAATGCACAACATTCGTACCACTTAAAACTGGGGTTCAGATGGAAGTCTCACAGAGACCACTTCCCTTACCTCGGGGTTGCCCTGAAACCGGCCGGCTTTTGAAGCCGCGCCAGCTTAGAACAAGATATTAAAACAAACTTCGTGGAATGTTTTTTTTTTTCGTTTTTTTTTTTTTCTTTTACTCGCTTTTTATGCACTATAGCAGCTTTACACCAGCGATATCACGTTTTGTTATCTCTTTACATTCGCTAGTCACAGTGAAACAGGTGTGTGTGTGTTTTTCCTTTTTGTTAAAGAGTTGTTTTTGTTTTGAGGTGTTTGTATTCCGTCACTGAAACCACAGCACAGCTGCGAACCACGGGTCGAAAACCGACCTTTTTTGTTTTTTTTTGTTTTCTATATTACAATCCAGCAGTGTCGCGGGTCGGCTCGAAACGGTGGCCGACCTCCCCCTGCCAGTATGTGGGCACTTCTATTATTTAAAAGTTTTACTCTTTGGCAGCTGAAACAGGCGCTGACAGAGAAAAAAAAAAAAAAAATCCGGTGACTTGGTTGTCAGGGATCTCACGACTAAAAGCACGCTGGTGCTATCGAAGACGCATTCGGTAAACTGAAAATGAACAAAAAAAAAAAAAAAAAAAAAAAAAAAATGCTTCATGCATTAGAAACTCATAAGAAAAAAATTTTAAAAAAAAATGCTTCATGTACTAGAAACTCATAAGAAATAAAAAAAAAAAAATGCTTCATGCGAGAAACTCAAAAAAAAAAAAAAAAAAAAAAAAAAATAATGAATAAAAAAAATGCTTCATGTACTAGAAACACAAAAAAAAAAAAAAAGAAAAAAAAGATGATGATAACATTACTCCAGTACAAAAAGTGACAGTTTCAAAAGAAAATCGGAGGTCCTGTCCAGGCAGAGTTTTGGCCTATAGAAGATTGGTTCTCCGGTGAGCCTGGCAAAGCTTTCAGCGAGCTCGGTGACAACTCTTGGGAAGCCTGTATAATCGACCAACGTTTTGAGGGCTCCTACTTCTGCATTTGGGGGGCTGGCTGTCACTTTAAAACTGGACTAGTCTTACAAATGCCCCTTCCCTGTCTAACGCCAATGCTGACTAACCTATGTACATAAAGAGATTTATATACTTATTTGCAGCCTGCACTGGCCCCCCTGTGTCACAGCAGCTGCAGGGGAGAGGAGAGAGCAATGGCAACCACTGACAAAGTCATGTGATCCGGCTCCCTTGTCAGCCAGCAGCAGGGGAGAGGAGAGAGCAATGGCAATCATTGACAAAGTCATGTGATCCGGCTCCCTTGTCAGCCAGCAGCAGGGGAAAGGAGAGAGCACCAACAATCATTGACAAAGTCATGTGATCCGGCTCCCTTGTCAGCCAGTAGCAGCTGCAGAGGAGAAGACGGAGCACTGATGCCGATTGAGACAAAAGTTCATGTGATCCGGCTCCCTTGTGTCAGCCAGCAGCAGCTGCAGGGGAGAGGAGAGAGCAACGACAACCATTGACAAAGTCATGTGATCCGACTCCCTTGTGTCAGCCAGCAGCAGCTGCAGGGGAGAGGAGAGAGCACCGACAACCATTAAAAAAAGGAGTGTATGGGTGATTTCATTGCTCCCAGATTTTCCAGCTGTTGTGGAGCTCTCTCCTCTCCCATGCAGCTGGCATTGGCTAACACAAGGGATCACGCGTCTAGTCTGGAGCAGGCTGACAATAGGCAAGATAGTTAGAGGGGGGGGGGGGGGGGACGACGACATTTTTATGACTAGTCAAGCTTAGGCTGGAATGCTACTAGTGACCCATTTAGTTTTGTAGCGCTCATCCAATCCGTGTGTCTGAAGTGTCTACCCTGGCCTACTGTGCAAAGTGGGACTTGGGAGATACCTCATTCCGAGGCGGCCAAGGCGCTAGACCAGTCGGCCGAGGCGCTAGACCAGTCGGCCGAGGCGCTAGACCAGTCGACCGACGAGCTAGACCAGTCGACCGAGGCGGCCGACGAGCTAGACCAGTCGACCGAGGCGGCCGACGAGCTAGACCAGTCGACCCGAGGCGGCCGACGAGCTAGACCAGTCGACCGAGGCGGCCGACGAGCTAGACCAGTCGACCGAGGCGGCCGACGAGCTAGACCAGTCGACCGAGGCGGCCGACGAGCTAGACCAGTCGACCGAGGCGGCCGACGAGCTAGACCAGTCGACCGAGGCGGCCGACGAGCTAGACCAGTCGACCGAGGCGGCCGACGAGCTAGACCAGTCGACCGAGGCGGCCGACGAGCTAGACCAGTCGACCGAGGCGGCCGACGAGCTAGACCAGTCGACCGAGGCGGCCGACGAGCTAGCTAGACCAGTCGACCGAGGCGGCCGACGAGCTAGACCAGTCGACCGAGGCGGCCGACGAGCTAGACCAGTCTACCGAGGCGGCCGACGAGCTAGACCAGTCTACCGAGGCGGCCGACGAGCTAGACCAGTCTACCGAGGCGGCCGACGAGCTAGACCAGTCTACCGAGGCGGCCGACGAGCTAGACCAGTCTACCGAGGCGGCCGACGAGCTAGACCAGTCTACCGAGGCGGCCGACGTGCTAGACCAGTCTACCGAGGCGGCCGACGTGCTAGACCAGTCTACCGAGGCGGCCGACGTGCTAGACCAGTCTACCGAGGCGGCCGACGTGCTAGACCAGTCTACCGAGGCGGCCGACGTGCTAGACCAGTCTACCGAGGCGGCCGACGTGCTAGACCAGTCTACCGAGGCGGCCGACGTGCTAGACCAGTCTACCGAGGCGGCCGACGTGCTAGACCAGTCTACCGAGGCGGCCGACGTGCTAGACCAGTCTACCGAGGCGGCCGACGTGCTAGACCAGTCTACCGAGGCGGCCGACGTGCTAGACCAGTCTACCGAGGGCGGCCGACGTGCTAGACCAGTCTACCGAGGCGGCCGACGTGCTAGACCAGTCTACCGAGGAGGCCGACGTGCTAGATCAGTCTACCGAGGAGGCCGACGTACTAGACCAGTCTACCGAGGAGGCCGATGTACTAGATCAGTCTACTGATCTAGTACATAGGCTGCTTAGGAGTGTGGCATCCCCGAATCACTTTGCTCAGTAGGCCAAGGTTCAAGCAGCGCTGTAGCCTATTGAAGCCGATGTTTGACATCTCCAACCTGGAGCTGAAGTTTGCCTTAAACTCAAAAACTATTAAAAACATTGAAGCATCGCTCCCATATTTGCTCAACTGCCGTTTCATTTTATCCTCAATGCCCCCCCAAGAAGAACAGTTACACCTATAGGGTGGCTACATTGCCTTGGAGGGTCTCCCTGGAGCCACCCCCTCCATGCATGCTCCCAGGACTACAGGAAGCCGACACAGACAGCCCCGTATGTCAACCACAGTGCTGCTCTGTAGTGAAACCAAGCTGTCAATCTAAGAGCTGGCGGGCAATCGGCTCTGGCGCGCGCCACGTGTGCAGAGAATATTGTGGTGGAGGAGGTCGTCTTTTAAAAGACTCGAGAGCAGAATTGGGAGAAAAAAAAAGTCTTCTAGTCTAGAGCTGAGGGTTCAAGATCACTGTAAAGTCTTCAACAAAGCTGCTGGAAGCTCTGCCAACGCTCACGGTACACCTTGCCCCTTAGACAGGCCAAAAGCTCATGTGAACGAAGCCCAAAACACAGAACTCGATTTGACTTTTTAGAACTTCCTTTGTTAAAAAAAAAAAAAAAAAAAGTATATATAATAATAAAAAAAAATATAATTATAATAATCAGCTTAACATTTTCTTTACCAAGTAAACCGCACAATTCTAGAACACGCGTTTAACACTCACTGGCACACCAGTATTTAAAAAAAAAAAGAAAAAAAAAAAAAAAACATTATTTTGGCGCCCATGCACAGCACTCGGGGTAAGACGAAGACAAAAACAAACACACAAAAAAAAAAAAAAAAAGAAAAAAAAAAAAAAACAAAAAGCACACAATGCAAAGTTACTTGGTAAACAAAAAAAACCACAAAAAAAAAAAAAGCACAAATACCAAAAAGTTAGCAACCTGAGGAAGAAACCCTTTTGTAGGTTTTTCTTAAAGAGTCTTTTAAGTCACTAGGCCTTGCTAGCAATGCAGTTCATATACACAAAGCGAGGCGAACTTCATCTATGGAAACGAACCCCTCCCCCCCCCCCCATCCCCCCACCCCAAAACGTTGGTCTGATAAGCAGTCGTACACAAGACACGCGAGGAAGTCCCTAAAGCCCATTAAGTGCTCTTTGTTTGTCGCAGCGCCAGTTTCTGGCGCTGAAAATCCTGTAGACTAAAAAAGGAGGGTCGCTCTCTAACATCTGACCGAGAAAGTCCCCTCCCCCGAGGAGCACTTTTAACCGTGAAAGCCCTGAACACTGTCACGTTCGACTTAGTTACCAATATCCGACTTTTTTTTTTTTTTTTTTTTTCTTTTTTCTCTTTTTTTTCTTCTTTTCATCAAGAAGTAGATACACACATACAATTTTTTATATAGCTAATACTGATTAAACACAGCACAAAAAGGGTTAAACTCACTCTACTGAGGAAACATTATAAGACCCTATTTGCATATGTAACCACAGGAAACTTCTAGAGAATAAAAAAAAAAAAAAAAAAAAAAAAAGCTAAATGCCTTCGCTGAAGTTTTGCATCTCTCTGTAAAAGTGCCGAGCCGGTTCGGTGAAGACGCTGAGAAGTTCAATGTCCATGACCGCCTGCCAAGGTCGTGCTAATCCGATCGATACCTGTTCTATCAGGTTGTGCACTGGATCCACATCTTGGTCGGCCAGCTCGCTTTGGTCAAAGTCTATGCTCTCCTCTGTGACCTCCAGGACTTTTAGGTCTGGCCCCCGAAGACGAGCGATTGCTATGAGGTTGTGTGCCCAGACGGTGTAGCCTGCGGAAAGAGGAGACGACACGTTATTCAGAAAAAAATGGAACTATTGTACTTGCCGTAACCACTTAAGGACCGCCCACTGTACTTCTACTGCAGAAGGGCAGCCCTTCTGCGCTGGATCACGTACACATAGGTGATCCAGAATATACAGGTATAGGGCGCGCGCACCCGCTCAGTCTGTGCTGTCATTTGCTATAGCACTAAGGACCGCCAACTGTACTTCTACTGCAGAAGAGCAGGACTTCTGCGCTGGATCACGTACTCCTAGGTGATCCAGCATATCCAGGTATAGGGCGCGCGCACCCGCTCAGTCTGTCAGTCAACAGGTCTCGGCCAATGATTTATGATGGACCTTTTAGTACTTGCTGTAACCACTTAAGGACCGCTCACTGTACTTTTACTGCAGCGGGGCAGCCCTTCTGCGCTGGATCAAGTACACGTAGGTGATCCAGCATATCCGGGTATAGGGTGCGCACACCCGCTTAGTGCTATAGCAAATGACAGCACAGATTAAGCGGGTGTGCGCACCCTATACCCGGATATGCTGGATCACCTACGTGTACTTGATCCAGCGCAGAAGGGCTGCCCCGCTGCAGTAAAAGTACAGTGAGCGGTCCTTAAGTGGTTACAGCAAGTACTAAAAGGTCCATCATAAATCATTGGCCGAGACCTGTTGACTGACAGACTGAGCGGGTGCGCGCGCCCTATACCTGGATATGCTGGATCACCTAGGAGTACGTGATCCAGCGCAGAAGTGCTGCCCTGCTGTAGTAAAAGTATAGTGGGCGGTCCTTAGTGCTATAGCAAATGACAGCACAGATTAAGGACCACACACTATACTTTTACTGCAGAAGGGCAGCCCTTCTGCGCTGGATCACGTACACGTAGGTGATCTAGCATATCCAGGTATAGGGAGCGCGCACCCGCTCAATCTGTGCTGTCATTTGCTATAGCACTAAGGACCTCCCACTATACTTTTACTACAGCAGGGCAGCACTTCTGCGCTGGATCACGTAAATGTATTTGATCCAGCGTATCCAGGTATAGGGCGCGCGCACCCGCTCAATCTGTGCTGTCATTTGGTACAGCACAAGTCGGCCGGCAGGTCCCAGCCAATGATTTATGATGGAACATTTGTACTTGCCGTAACCACTTAAGGACCGCCCGCTGTACTTTTACTGCAGAAGGGCAGCCCTTCTGCGCTGGATCACGTACACCTAGGTGATCCAGCATATCCAGGTATAGGGGGCGCGCACCCCCTCAGTCTGTCAGTCAGCAGGTCTCGGCCAATGATTTATGATGGAACTTTAGTACTTGCCGTAACCACTTAAGGACCGCCCGCTCTACTTTTACTGTAGCAGGGCAGCACTTCTGCTCTAGATCACGTACATGTACGTGATCCAGCATATCCAGGTATAGGGTGCGCACGCACCCGCTCAATCTGTGCTGTCATTTGGTATAACACCAAGGACCGCCCACTATACTTTACTAACAACACAGGGCTCTGTACAGAGAACAACGATGTGGCTGTATTTTCTCCCTGCTTTGCCACATCTATTCGTAAGCAGCACACATTACACTTGATAGGCACACAGTTAACCCTTTGATTGCCCCTTGATATTAACCCCTTCCCAGCCAGTGTCATTAGTACAGTGTACAGTATTAGCACCACTCATTGGTTAGTGTCACTACTGATGTCACTTTCAGTCAGTTTGTCTCTCTCCCAACTAGCGTCAGTTAGCGCCAGATTGTCCACCACACTATAAGTCACTGATCACCGCAATAGAGTCAGAGCTGCATAAAATTCCAGCATATATCCCCATAGTTTGAAGACGCTATAATTTTCACACAAACAAATTAATATACACTTGTTGGGATTTTTATATTTTCTTTTTTTAGCAAATACATGGAGCACACAAAATATGTAACAAACTTGCGCAAATGGAAATGAGTGAAAAATTAAATGCTGCTGTTCAAGGATTGACTAAACCTCAAAAAATAAAAATAATACAGCGCAAATAATACAAATAATCAAAACTGTGACAAATTATATGTGAAAGTCCAAAAAAAGGCCCAAATAAAGTCCAATGTCCCAAAAAATGTGAAACAATTATTATTTACTCAAATTTTATAAATTTTTCCAGCTTTCTCACATCTTCTGTGAAAAGAGTTATATAGATCCACACTCAACAAATGTTGTGAATTTTCACAGTAGATGTGAGAAAGCTGGAAAAATTTATAAAATTTGAGTAAATAAATTGTTTCACATTTTTTGGGACATTGGACTTTATTTGGCCTTTTTTGGACTTTCACATATAATTTGTCACAGTTTTGATTATTTGTATTTTTAGAAATACATGGAGCAGGCTACACTTTGGCCTAAATTTATTTTTTATTTTTATTAATTTACTGGATATATTTTATAACCGAAAGTAAAAAAAAACATTGTTTTCAAAATGTTCAATCTTTTAATTTATATAATAAAAAATAACAATAAAAAAGAAAAACAAAAACTCAGTGGTGATCAAATAGTGAGCAGAGAGTGGCGACTGTTACCACACTCTGCTCACAGCGGCTGTGCGAACTCAGCGATCGGTGGTCATGTGATCGCCGAGTTCTGACAAAGAGCCAGTAGGGGACAGATGCAGCACCGGACCAATACCGCATCCACCTAGCCAAGTGTAATTTGAAAAAAAAAACCAAACCCCATACTTCTTTTAAAGTAGCACAGTGTCAAAGGGCAAAAAATGCCCTGGTCAAGAAGGGGGTAAAACCTTACGGAGCTTAATATTCAATTTCTTGGAGTTGAGGGACACGGGAATTTAAAGAATTTTGGGTTATACTGCTGCCTATGGGAGGATTAGACACTAGCAAACAAAACCGTGACCACATGGTATAATCCCTCATACTTCCAGCATGCCTCAATTTGGTGGTAAAGAGCATGCTCAGAGAGGCTTGGGACCCGTGTCCCTCAATGAACTTCAAGAAATGTACGGCTGGTTCAAAAAAAAACAATTTCCTTTCTCATTGATTGAGGTACACCAATTCAGAGACTACTGGGACATCTAAAAGCAGTCCAACAGCAACAAAAAACAGCCTAGAGGAACCGATGCCTGAATCGGCCATCAGAAGAGGCCTACACATCCACCTGGAAAAACTTGGAGAACGGATAAGCAGAAGGCCAGATGACAGCATTTGCAAATATGCAAAACCGTAGCCGGATGATGTTGGAACCTGATCTTTAAGACCATAAGAGTGATGATGACCTGTCAGAGCCACTGAAAAATGGTGGAACAAGAAGTTGGTTCCACTTCATGGGGACCATCAAGGATGACAAAAGCCAGTGTTTATAATGGAAGCACTGACTGCATGGTAGACCTGAAGAACAAAAGCTACATCTAGGTAAAGCTAGGCGATTTCCTGGTGTACTAGAGAGAGGGACAGAAGAACAGTGTCCCAATATACCAGGAAGAAAGGAAAAACAAAAACACGGAAGGAAAGGGAGGAAAAACAAAAACACGGAAGGAAAGAGAGGAAAAACAAAAACACGGAAGGAAAGAGAGGAAAAACAAAAAAAGGAAGGAAAGAGAGGAAAAACAAAAAAAGGAAGGAAAGAGAGGAAAAACAAAAAAAGGAAGGAAAGAGAGGAAAAACAAAAAAAGGAAGGAAAAAAAAAACAAAACACAAACAAGGAAGGGAAAAAAAAAGGAACAAAAAAGAAGCAAAAAACAAAAACAAAAAAAACCAACAATCCCAAAAAAGCACGGATGGGAAGGAAGGAAAAGGAAAACAGATGGGAAGAAAGGGACTGTTAACAGGACAAAGATATATGCCTCACAAAAGGAGATAGTAATAAAACAAAAGCTTGTGAGACCAGGAAGGGGAAATATATCTGATGGGTTCAGAAGGTAGTTTTTGAAGTACTGAATGAACCAAACACAGATACCACTGAACCATGGGAGAGCCACACGGGAGAAACCTTGTACGAAAGTCTTAAGGACAGAGTGGGAAGCCAGCATCCTCTGGTAGAAGACCGCAAGTGCCAAGGTCTGTCCTTTGATGGAAGTTGCAAAGAAGACCAAGGATTCATCCCACACAGACTTTTGGGATAAACATTTTTCCCCACACCAAGCAAAATCAAGGCAGACAAGGCTGGAAAATGGAGTTCTGTCCAAAAAAAATTTTTTTCTACCTCTTGCCACAGCACAACTTCTGGTTTCTCCCTGGTGGTTGATGTGGCTACTGCTATTGTCTAACTAAATCCTGAAAGAATGATCCTCTAGTTTGGGTGTCCAATGTTGCAGGAAAATGAAAATGTTTCAAAAGCTCCAGAATATTTATTGGGATTCGGATATTCCTCTGACGTCCAAGTGTCCTACATAGACCAGGTGTTCAGGCCTCCTCCCCAGCACTACAGGATGGCATCAGTCATGGGGAACTTCAAAGACACCAGAAGGAAGGACTTCTTACTGGAGAGTTGAATTTTTGAGCCATCAGGCCAGGGACAACCTGGTCTTCAGGGTCAGGCGAATTTGTCATGGTGGGACAAGTGGCCTTCCAACAGACCGTGTGTAGAGTTCCAGAGTGGGACTAGGTAAACGGGAATGCCTTGAAGGAGTCTACTATCAGTTCCAAAACGCTCATGCAGAAATGGAGGGTTGGATGAATCTTGCACTTAAGAGTTCAAGTCTGGGAGCAGAGAGTTTAAATTTTTCATTGGGAAGAAAAAACTCTGGCTTGAGCGGTCTAAGGTAAGACCAAGATACTTCCAAGTGATTAGTCAGCTCCTGTGCAGACTTCTGAAGATTTAGGATCTAGCTGAACCATCGCAAGGGCTGAACTGTCTTCACTACTGTCAGCCAGGACTTGTGCAGACCGTTCCCTCAGCTAGGGTTTGCTAACAAACAGATTGCCAAGCTTGATCTGGGCGTTGGAGATTAAGGCCTGAAAGTAATGAAAGGAAGGAATCCTACTTTGGCCCTGAGGAGAGGCAAGGTTTC